GTTTGTATTCTAAAATACTACAAAGAAATCTCCGGCACTTATAGTAAAACCACCATGATTCCCCGTCACATGACCAGCCACTTTATTCTCTGATTTCAATACTTAAAATTCCAGCTGGACATTTATACTGCAAACAATACTTAAACTTCAAATAAAAACACTGGTAGCAAAATAAAACAAGAAATTTGAGATATTTCAAACCATTGTAAACTCACCTTTTATTTGCTTTTCATTTAACTCCAAAATTAAGTTAGCCTTTCTGATAATTCACATTTTATTTTGTAGAGCAACACATGTGTTTAAATTCCATAGAAACTTTCATAAAAATTTAATCTTTTTAATTATTCCATGGAGTTAAACCAATAATGACGTTATCCACTCGGCTGACAAAAAATGACTGAAGGCCTTGTAGCTTATCAAGTAGCAATTAAAATCTTTCCAGTTGTTAAACTTGAATCATGACAAAAATTACAACGTAAACCTCTCATTATAAGGGTGATGATTTGTCAGATTTTAGATTTAACAAATTTTCTTCTGCTTCAAATAAAACCACAGTCAGAGCAAAAAACAAACAAACTTCATTCTGATATATTTAAGTCAGAAATTGTTATCTTTTAATTCAGTAGCTCAGTAGCGTTACTCAATAACTCTCCGATTACAATTAAGTTATCTTATTGAATAATTTGAACCTAAGATGAGCATCATTAATTCATCCCTTCATTATCAATTCAGAACAACTGAATATTTCATTCTGCAATTAATCTCTAACCCCAGTTTTATCACATTTTTTATATTTTTCACATGAACGGTTAACATCCATTGTTTACAAACTTGATTCTCAGCTACCCCTGTATCTATTGTGTCTAATTTTGATCATTTGTTGACAAAATGTTAACAAAATAAATCCGATAAATACAATCTCTAAAATCTAACCTCTAACCCAAACTGTTAAGAAAATCTTCAGTATTATTCAGCTTGGGATCAAACTGTTTTACAAGAGTCTCACTGATAAGTAAACTATCATTGTTATTTCATGAACAGGTAACTTTAGCAAATAGGTAACGATTTAACAGACATAAAACTCCTGCCTATCTCACAACTATAATTTGGTATTTTATGTGTATCAAATTGTCAGAGATAGTCCTATCTTATATCTGTTTTATAGACAAACACATCTATTAGATTCCTATCATATTCCTAAACTCATATCATGTCACCTAAACACATATCATGTCACCTTTTTTCTATAAGTCAAGATTGTTACAATTAGACAACTTGTTAATGATAAACAGGGATTGATTTTCCAGATTTAATCAGTTTTAAAATTTGCCGCCTTTTTTGTTTTGTCTTTTTCAAAAAGGGTTGTCTGCTGATTGATAATGACTCATTGATTTAGGGAAAAAAATCCGATTTGAAATTAAAACACACATTTTTTTCAATTTTTTTTTTGCAGTATATGGTTGGAAATATGGTACACATGAAAAATAGATTGAAGAAAATACCAAGTAAAAATCTGTCTATGTATACTCGCTTGCTTTTTCTTTGGAATTTTTTTTTCAATGTCAAATCATGATTACAATTTTCTGTTCCTTAATTTTTCGGTATACACCTCTGAGCTACTGCTTTAAATAAATTTCTATTATAATTATGTAATATGGACAGTAAGTTTCTCTCTTTTTACTCATATGTATTCTGCTGTATTCTTTGAATCAAACTTCGTTAATTTAATAAAATTTGCAGTCTCGGTGTTTTACTGAAGTGTAATAAATCTCTTTATTTTTTCTCCTTACAACATATATGATTGTATTTACTTTATAATCAATCAAATTCAGTTAAATCCTATTTTCGAAATGTAAAAGAAAAAAATCTGCATTCCTTGATAACTCATTGATACTTCAAATAACTCGATGACATTTGAAAATATCGTAATATTTAAACAGATTAACGAAGATACAAGAAAACAGATGGGGGTCGTATTAAAGTCAATTTCTTGGTGATTTGTTGTTATTGTCATAATCCCTTCTTTTCTATCAATGACAAGTTTATCCGATGTTAAACATAAAATACCAAACATGATTTAAGACATCTTTAACCGCCAAGCTGTTTTGAAGGTTAACTTTTCAACTCACTAGAGATTTTGTCTTAAGACATATTGGACCGTTGTTAAATCATAAAGAATTTATCATTCTACAACTCAACTCTGGTATTATAATGTCAACATTTTCTTCCGATAAAATCTGCTAAAGTAATTTTACCAAAATACAAAAAATCCAAATCAAATATTGACCAATCAGCTTCAAGATGCATGTTTATCAACATGACCCTGTCTCAAGGACCGAGGAATCAAAATGGCCGCCGTCATGACTAAGCACTCTGTCAGACATTTAGAGCTTGTATCATATATTGAAAAGCCGGGAAACAAACAATAAGATTAAGGCCATTTAAATAAATATGTAAATAACCCAGACATATTAAACAGTGGGTGGCAGCGTTGTTATACAGTGGAAAAATCACTTTAATGGTAAAGTACGACGATTTGTCACTTATAGCGGAATATAAAACACCAAAAATAAATATAAAAGTATAGAAGGTGATAATTTTTTATCAAGATTTGTTGTCTACTTTATATAATATGTAGATTCCTGGGTGAGACGGTAAATATTAAAGTCTAGCTTAAAACTCACACATGCTGAGAACAACATGCCAGTTGATCAACCTCTGCAAATGTATCAAACTTAAGCAGCTGAATTTCTTAGACAAAGTTATCAAATTTCAATTTACAGAACTGTCCATTAAAAAGTTATAGTAAATCAGGATGGAAAATATAACAGTACAAAATTGAGCAAATAAGAATCGCTAAAGAAAGCAAACCACGGCAAAATTGAAGATGTTGCGACTTTGTTTGATTGAGCGGCCTGTTCATGGACATTACTGTCAAACGCAAACTACCATCAATGCCCCCTAACACAGGCTTAAGCAGAATTCAACATTTAATCATGGTAAACCCTTGTCAAAATGAGGGATGTGCAGGGAATCTGCAAATCAAAAAGTGTAGTGGATTATAAACCCACAGAACCGAATCTCCACTAAACCGGAAACATCAGTATACCGCACATTTCTCAGGGCCTTTATTTATATCCCGGGGTTAAGAGTTTGAACCCTACCGAGGTCCTAAGGATCGAATCAGCGACCCCGGGATTACAAAACTAATGCTCTCCCTATTTAGATTAGTGGGATTGTGTTGTTATAAGCATATCATCACCTTAGTGCAACTGCTTTTGATTTATATAAGAATTTAACCCGTTACTGCACTAAGGTGACAATATTTTCAAAATAAACTGACTTACATTAAAAGCTAAACTACAACTTTCATGATGTATTGTCACCAGTATTAGAATTGATTTTTTGTTACAATGAAATTTTACATGAAACGTGAGGTATGATTCAGTGTAATTTTCATTTCATCGAAAAAAAAGTTCGGCCGCAAGTCAAAGTATTATCCACTAATGGATTTCTATCAAAATAGCTGACATGCGATTTCGATTTTACTAACATGCAATCATCATTCCCTGTACCTGAATCATATACCAGGATATTATGTCATCAGGAATTCAAAGGTAATTTACAGTTTCTATTACAGGTATTTACTTTCAGCTTTTTTTATTTATGACAAATCTTCATTAAAGTCAATTTAACCATATCAGAGATAAAATAAAAATTTGCACAACAGCCACAAAAGAAGTGTAGGCTTCAGATAAATCTCCAATGCTTTATGTATACTTCAAAGTACTTCTTTGACACAAATCAAATTAACCATCTTCAAAAGTAAGAACTAACTAACTTTCAGAAATAGAACTAACACACCTTTACAAACAGAATTTCACTCAAATTTTAGAAATAAATATAAACACCTTTAGTAACAGAATTTGCACATCTTCAAAAGAAGAACTTCCACATTTCTAAAAAAAAAAAAGAATTAACACTCCTTCACAAATAGAATTACACTTCTTCACAAGAATTATACTACTTCACAACTAGAATCATTCACCATAACAAATAGAAATACACATCTTCAAAAACAGAACTACCCACCTTCACAAATACCAGTAGAACTAAGACACCTTCACAAACAGAACTACCCACCTTCACAAATACCAGTAGAACTAACACACCTTTACAAACAGAACTACACTCCTTCACAAATACCAGTAGAACTAACACACCTTTACAAACAGAACTACACTCCTTCACAAATACCAGTAGAACTAACACACCTTTACAAACAGAACTACCCACCTTCACAAATACCAGTAGAACTAACACACCTTTACAAACAGAACTACCCACCTTCACAAATACCAGTAGAACTAACACACCTTCAAAAACAGAACTACCCACCTTCACAAATACCAGTAGAACTAACACACCTTCACAAACAGAACTACACTCCTTCACAAATACCAGTAGAACTAACACACCTTTACAAACAGAACTACCCACCTTCACAAATACCAGTAGAACTAACACACCTTCACAAACAGAACTACACTCCTTCACAAATACCAGTAGAACTAACACACCTTTACAAACAGAACTTGTAACCCACCTTCACAAATACCAGTAGTTTTTTTCTAACGGAAACAACAGCTTTCCGCCAATGGGATTTGAACCCACATGGTCAGCAAGCCTTGGATTACTAGTCCGACAAAATAACCATTCGGTCATGCCGCCACTCACTTTCACAGAATGACTGACGATATTTTAAAACAGCGTATATCTACCGATTATTTTCCTTTTATATTATTTGCAAAAGACACAATCCATTTGAACAATTAGATAAGAATTGGTCTTCAGGCAAGTCAATAACTATGCAGATGGAAACGGCAACAGGGAAAAACTAATTTCTTAATTGAATGACAATCTAGATTTGTTCCATTTTCCTGAAGTTCACTTTAAGAGCTTATGTTTCCATTGTGTACGATTATAAAAAAGTATAATACCTTTTGTAAACGGTTTCTATAAATATTCTATCAAGCAAATATTCATCTTGTTCAGCATTTGTTGTCTGCAATGTTTCTGAAAATACACAAAAAAATAAAACGGTGAAATTTTCCACATCAAATGAGCACAACAAAATATGCACAACAAAGTTTGCAGCAACATTAGACGTAAGGAAGAATTTAATATTTAATGACTTTGGTGCCGTTCTGAGCGAGGACGAGTCTACGATCTTCAGTTAAGAGCCTTAATTAACAGCTCAAGAATCAATGGCAACTACAGGTTCTAACTATTTTGCTATTAATTATGAATGTGCAGATTGTGAGAATACAATCATCGTAGAAATCAGTAAGGGAACATATTTAAATTTGTTCCCGAGATTTACAGAAACTGCCTAATGGCTAACTAACTTTTTCTGTAAATTCTGATTCAAAATATCATATGATCTGACAAATATTTCTCCCCAATTGTGATCAATGTTCCCACCGAGCATTGCACATTGAAATCTCTTTTACTGCTGGATATGAACTCTGCAGCCTGATGGTGGCAACTGAATATATTGATGTGACCAGTGCCCAGTGCCGACCAAGATTAGTCATGCAGTCTGATGATGGTCAGCAATGTCCACTTATAAAGTCAATTCTTATTTTTGAAATGTTCCCTAATAATAATAAATAGACTTGTCCAAATTGAAAGATGGACAAGTCTATTTCAGATATTTAGGGTATAAAGACTTAACAAAAGCCTTTTCTTCCTATGAATTCGGAAGGTGCCGTCAGTAGTTATACATCAAGCGGCATCTTGGTATTGATTGCAAAGCACGTAAAGGTCAAGGTCATAATGGAAATGATAATATCATGCAAAGAAGTTAGGTCAACCAGCTTCTGTTTACTTAAAAAAGAAGACTTCAAACTGACTTAATTTTTATGGCCGCACTATTTTGTATTGGCAAGACCTTATTCTGTAACTGTACAGAGCAATGACAAATTTTCCTGTCTGCTTCAAAAAACATAGACATAGGTTAAAATTTCTTAAATTGTATTAGCATGTATGATGAAAGACTGGTTTCTAGAATTTGACAATAAAACAGGCAGGAAAATTTCCTGACAGACGATAAAGTTTGATAATCATTATTGATATATTGTCTAACAGAAGTTTTAGGACAATACCTTGAACCTTAATAACATCATGTTCACAAACTTCTCTTACAACACTCTCTCACTGAGCATATATTTTAAGTGACAATGTTATAAAAATTGAAATGCGTTAAAAATGATACCGGTAATAATAATGATGGACCCTTGATTATTTATGATACGAGCATGAATCTGCTGATCATTGCTTATTAACTTTTCTCATCCTTATTTCTTAGAGGCTCAGTGCCCAAGTGGTAGTCGGCTTCAAATCACTTGTCCCTAGCTGCTTTGGGTTCAAATCTTGTCAGGGACACTGCATTCTTTCATGTGAGAATTCATAGTTATCCAGGTAGCGTACAGTACCACATTGGTTCTACTCAAGTGCCCAATAATGCACAAAGGGGTAATTGTGAGGTCTTTCTCAACCCGTACAGCTGGAAACTCATTGACATTTAGCATCTTGGTGTGACATAAAATCCAACAAACAATTCTCATTTTCTCATTCAAAATTTGTTAAATTGACTTTTTGACACATGATTTCAATTTGAAACTGTACATAATTATGAAGAACAAAATTATCGCCTAGCCCTTATTGCACGTTCTTTTGACTTGAGATCTATTGTTGTTATTTGTTTATTTCCCTAACCCATATTCAAAGTCAAGTAGCAGTAAATAATAATATAATTCTGAAATTTCTTGTAAGAAAATACTCATTCAAATTATTCTTGATTATGAAAACAATTAGTAAAGAAAAATTCACTGTTTTTTTTTCAATAAGTTACCCATGGTGGTCTCCTTCTATAGAAAAACTTGAGATATTTTCGAAAGGCAATTTTACTGTATGTGTAAAGTCTTCTAAGCCAAGTGACACATAACTTCATTATCTTCCTCCAAATTTCTATATTCTGTCATTTTCTATCAATATCAATAAAGAAAGTTTTTCTGGGGAGAAAAAAATGGATTCATAATATAATAAGACAATCATCCATCTTCCCTGCTCCGATGATTTTTTTTTCGTATAAGACTCTCCTAATCTGCAATTGTATTTATTCTGCGGATTGTATTTATTCCGCTGTTGTTCATTTCCACGGAATAAAAAACCGGCCTCTTATCCAATCAAAATATGAGATTATTTTACGAGGTTAAACAAACTTGTCATAGGAAATATCCGGAGGTTGTCTAAGTCCGTTATTGATGCTCTAAAGTAAGAGTTTTAATTGACGACTTCTGCCAAATAGTTTTCTCTCAGCTGCTGAATTAAATGATGAAATATACGTTCTTTCATCCTGCGAAGAATTCTTTGTTTAGTAATAACCCACAGAAAATAATTCAATAATAACATTTCTATAGCTGATTCATAGAGTTTCTTTCTCTATTACTTGAAGATAAGAATAAAAGAAAATTATTAAATTACATCATATCATTATTATCATTTGGTATGTTAATCATGTCGTATTTGTCATTAGGTACTGTTTATTATCATATTGTACTGTATCATTAGGTATTGTTTATTATCATATTGTACTGTATCATAAGATATTGTTTATTATCATAGTGTACTGTATCATTAGGTATTGTTTACTATCATATTGTACTGTATCATAAGATATTGTTTATTATCATATTGTACTGTTTATTTTCATATTGTATTGTGCCATTACGTATTGATTATTATCATTTTATACTGTATCATTACATAGAGTTCATTATCATATTGTACTGTATCATTACATATTGTTTATTATGTTATTGTACTGTGTCAATGACTGTATTGTTTATTATCATATTGTACTGTAATTACATATTTTTTATTGTGATATTGTATTATATCATTAAGTATTGTTTATTATCATATTGTACTGTGTCATTACATATTGTTTATTATGATATTGTACTGTGCCATTGTGTATTGTTTATTATCATATCATTATAATTGCATTGTAAAATAATGAATTGTAACATAATATTGTAATTTATATTAACTGTAACATATTGAATTTTATCACATTGTATTATACATATTCATTTTTATAACAAAATTTTTCAAATTATTGAAATTCTCTGCAAACATAGTTCATCTGATCAAATATTTGAACAAATAACAAAGTTAATATCATGATGACATCAGAAATATAAGTCATAAAAACCAAAGACATTAATGTCATATTTTTTAAGCAGCAGATAAGTTTCATTACACCTATATATTGGTAGTTAAAGAAATTAGATTTGATAATAAAAATGCCTGTGCAGCCAGACACAATTATTTTGATTTACAAGTTCCGCATGTTTCCTATGACCTTGAAAATAGTATTTATAACATATCTTGATATAATTATGCTGTAACCAGTTGAAATTCTAGTTATGAATTTAAAGCATAAAGTATATAAATCTATATTCTGATGAGATGTAAATTTTACTAATTCAATTGTAAAATTGTCACGAAATTTACTTTATTACAGGAAATTCAAAATTCCGTTTCACTTAAAATTTCATTTACAGATAGCATATTGTAACAACACCCTATAACTTTTCCTGTATTATCAATTTATGTTAAATTAATATTCATTATTCTTTAATTAATTAATTATTGTATAATCCTGCTTAATATTAATTGTTTAACTGTCAACTGGAAATATATATATTAATTAATTTAATTCAAATAAAGCAAAAGATTTAAATTTTAATTTATTTCTTTAATGCAAAAATCTAAAAATCCTTTCTAGTTCAGATTTATTCAGGGAACATATATAAACACATACTTTATATACATATATATCAACATGCATATAAAAAACACACACACAAAAATGTAACAAAAATATAATTATAAAATTAAGTAGTATGCTAAACTTTTATGTTACCCTAGGATTGCCCATAATATGCTAAAAGCTTACACTTATGAAGATTTCAGCACATTAGATTATTTAACATTATTATTTGATCATTTGACAAAATCTATGATATTTAAAGCCAAATTATTATAGTAACTCAGGAAAATTAGAAGTTAATTAACTTATTTGTCTTAATTTAAAAGTGTTTCCACACTGTTTGAATCTAAATAAAATAACATGGGAAACTAATACATTCTTTTAATTTTTTAATAGAAGAAATAATTAAAATGATAAAATTTGATAATAATATCACTTTATATATTTTACACACACATTCTTACCTATCTGAATTAAAATATCCTTTTAAAGAATGTACAAAAAAATATTCCTCAAGTTAAAATTCCAAACTAATTCTATATATCACACTTCACATAAATCATTGATTTCTCAGTTTGAAAGAAATAACACATTTATTATGCACGTCCATCAGTTAAAACACTAAAACCAGTATGTGGTCAATCCACTAAAAGCCCCTAATTCATTTCAAAGGGACAATTTTACAACCAATAAAACATTTTCATCTGACAGTAACTGGTCCATACTGACCAATGAAAACCAAGTTACAAGGCCATTAAAATGTTTCGCAGCTCCTGGGTGTAAAGATACCTCTGTATTGTATCTGGTTTACTGTGGACAGATGGACCAAATAATAATAATGTATGGGTCACTGTTCTATGTTTTTAACAACAAGATGCTGCATTTTAAAATCAAAAATTCTCAGAACAGTGTTTTATTTGAATTAATTAATTTACAATACAATCTAACTAAACTCCTTTATAACATTATCAAACAGTATTTTTTATCCAATTCAGAACTTAAAGTTTTTTTTAAATTATTCCAAAAAACTCTATTATAATAGATAATACTACTGTATTATAATAAAGAATTACAGAAATAAACAATTACTGTTATGCAATCCAAGAACTATTAAGTAGTAAGTTAATGATCAAACAACAACAACAGCAACAACACACTCATCAGCCGTGATCACAACGGTGCTTTTAATTAAACTTTGATCTTTTGATGTTTAGGTCAGTTGAGTCATGACATT